CTCCCCCAGCCTTGCACCTCATCTATTGTGACACAGTTTCCTTGGTCTATTCTGTTTCTTTTGATGATGTCTATAAAGTAATAACCCCAGATTTTAAAGCCTGGTTTCATAATTCTAATTATGCGTTCGATAATCCGCAAAAATTCTCATGCGTGAATAAAGAACGTAGCAGGGTTATGAAAGACGAATATGGTGACCACATAGTGACACATTTTGTAGGTACATCCCATGCTTTATGCATACATAGTTGTGAATGAGCAGTGTATAGGTAAGGTAAAGGGTGGTAAATCTAACATCTTGCAGACACTCTGTTACGAGGATTGTCGGGATTGCCTCGAAAATTGCACTAGGGTTTTAGGGACACAATATCACTTTCGTTCGCATGGCCACAAAGTCTACACCGAACGAATTACCAAAGTAGTGTTAGTGGGGTTGGACGATGAGTGTTACATTGAAACGGATGGAGTATCAACTTTTTACTGGGGGCACTAGAGAATCCCCGCCCTTAATTTTTTTAGGCAACACTACACACAGTATCATAATAAATATAGCCCTGCCATCTCCAACACCCACCAATCAGCTAGTTACCTGATAAAATATAATCTACAAGTCAATCAAACTTCTAGCCACATCATGAGTGAGACAATTAACTAATAGCTAGTGACTTACAACTAAAATATAACCTAAAAGTCTAACAGCCAGAAAACCAATGCTTCACCTATTCGCTGGGGAAAAAACATCTCACAGGTTTTAGAGTAACGAGTATGTATTCCTGTGACACCAACTACATGACATCAAACATGCAAAGTGTAATGTGTGAATGTATATTAAAATGAATAAAGAACTTTGTGTACCAGATATGTACAGAAGTTTGATTGTTTTTTGTATATTTAAATTAATATTATGTTTGTTAGGAAATAGGATATATTAAAAATGTATTTCAATCTGAATGTTTGTTTCATTTACCACCAAACAGAGTGTAGATCTGGAATTAAAAAAACATATACCTTCAGAAATGAGTGAGTCAAAGTTTAAGCAAAAATTAAAATATAATATATTACACATTGTTTGTGTGAAGAATACATAATTATTCGTTGGGAGTGACCTTTTTACAGATATATATGAAAAAAACTAATATCAACATAACAAAACAAATGATATCTGGTTAATTAATATGTTTTCAGTGTGCAGAAATATTTGTGTGTGAACACAATACGTAATTTTCATTCACTAGGTTTAACGAGCGTGTTTGTAACATCTGGCGAATCATTTTGTCTGACCACATTCCATATCAGCGCGCAATACTGTCTTTCTGTGTAATCAGTTTGTTTGAATATCACCTACAACTGTGAATTCGTTAATATTTACCACAGTAAAGACTTGTGTTTATGGAAAATCGCAACAAAGCAAACAATATTTGCCTTAAATGGTCCTCACAGAAAACAAGGTGAAATAAATAAATTACTGTTCATATACATGGTTAAAAGGCACATGTAAAATGCAATTAATGGGTTATTGCAAACACAGACAGTTTTCACAGAATATTTAAAACACCTAGAAATATCATTTACTCTATATCTGCACTAATTTTGTAAATCAGCTAATTTAGTGATTATTCAGAAAGCAAATGTGTTTGACATTGGTTTCAGTGAAACTTGCAGGCTTCATACATGTAGGAGTGTATTGGCCCGAGGTATGGTCAGGAGCATTGAGGGTTGAGTATAACGACCTGCCAGTGGTACCAAACCCTTGTCAAGAGCAAGCCATTCCCGATGTCCGTCTGACTACAGCTCCATAGACTTTCACGGTGTTGTGGGCCACTCTGCCATGCTCAGATCATAACCCTCAAGGGCTGAATATAAAGACACAGACAAAGGAACTGGCTGTGGCGATAGAGGGAGGGTGGATGGGGGTAGTCAACGGATTCTCGCCCGCCCGCATGCTAGCGACGCCATCTTATTATGACAACAATCCTCGCCCTGAACAGATGGATACAGCGCTCCGGAGATCGATCATAGTTATCATTTCAAAAACTTCCCTTTGTATCTTCCAACCGTTTAAGAATTTTGTTTCTTATAAAATGTGAATTATCAGGAAACGAGAGTGCAAAGTGTAAACTACGATTTTTAAGCTGACCTACGTCTGGATAAAAGTATTAATTATGTCTTGCGAGCGTTGGTAGGCTTTCATTGTGTTTGTGTTAAAAAGAAAATGATTTTAAATATGCTTTTCACAACTAGGGAAACTTACTTGGACAGATAAACTATGTTTGTGAGTAGTTAATTCATATATCTCGTTCATACATGCAGTTGTGAATACGAGTTAGTTTCTTATTTTTTTAAATCAATTCTTTTCAGGGAAGTGAGATCGTATATTATTAATTTAAAGCTTGGAATGGGGGAATCATTAGTAAGTGACTCCATGGTAAATTTTTATTTAATTTCTTTGTCTGTGTTTAAAAATTACAATAAATTTACAAATTATATGCAATAATTAGAACATTTTGTACAAACTTCAAACATTATGTGCTTCTATTATATTTAAAAATAACATTGCGTTTAAAATTTACTTAATTTTTCTAGGGAAGGCATGACATATGTTGTTCGTTATTTAATTCAAGACGTCAGGGTAGATCGGGATTAGCTAGTACTTGAACATTTTTGAAATTTTTTCGCTATTTATATGAAATATTTAAATAACTTTGTGTGTATTTAGAATGTTACATTGTAGAGCTGAGAGCTGATGAGGGAGGTACACTTAATTTGTTCGTGGATAGTAATAATTTGGATATGTGCACTTTTAATAACTCATTACAGCTAGAATGGTAGGGAAATAATATACTCTTTTGTCCTTGTTGTAGGTATAGTTCAGAAAGTGTATGAGTAGTGTGCAAATCATTTCCTTCATTAGTAAGTTTGCATGTTCTTTGGTATAACTTAAATTAGTTTTGTGAAATCTTCATATTTTGAATTTGTGCTTCATTCATAAGCAGGGATAAATAACTATCATTTATTTGTGAGTTTCAATTTTGGACATGTGCACTTTTAATAAGTCTTGTTTGTTAATTGCTTCGTCGTAGGTATAGTTAAGAATACATCGTTCTTATGTTTAGGACTAGTATGGTTTATATCAAGTCGTTTGGTTCCATATTGGACATTTTGTTTTTGTGTTTAGTGAGTGTGCATATTTTTAACGTTTGTGTTTTTCGTTTGTTTTATGTTAATGTAATTTAATGAGTGAGTTTGGTTAGCACTTGATTCGTGAAATTTATTCTGGTGTTTAAAATATATTATATTTGTAAGGAAATAGTTTTAAGAGATCTTCATATTTTGTTTGGGTCTGATTAGTACATTTAATTACGAGATAGGATATTAATATAAATTTTGGATGTGTGCATTTCATTTGATTTGCAATTAAATATGTTCTGTTTGTCGAGGAGTGATTATGGTTATTATTAGATTTGTTGTGTGCATGTGCTTTTAATTGGTTTAGAAAAACCAATTTGTATTTGAGTGCAAATAGTATTCATGTCTCTTTGCATCTAATTGTATTTTCAATTATATAGATATTTGCTAATAATTTGATTTTGCCGAAATACTATTCATTTACAATTAAGCATTTCGCATATGTAGAGCTCAGTCAATAATCAGACGCTGGCCAAAGCTGAAGTATATTGGTGTTACTCCTCCAACACCTCAGTCGCTATTAGTAAGGTGTTCTATAAAACAATTATTTTTTGTTTTGTACTTCTGATATTGCCAAAATACTATTTTTCGTTATTTTAAAACAGTTATTTCGAAATACACCTTTCTGAACTTCGCCGTTTCGCATAATACAGTTGACATTCAGATATTGCCTGTGGTGCACATATCTTATCCTTCAGTCAATACACTAAGAATATTTAAGAATAGTCATTTTTATGTGACTATTATTAATTTGTAAATAAATATGCCCTGTGTGTCATAAATTATATTGCTAGAAAACAGAGCAGGATACTAAACTTATACTGTATTATTAAACGTGTGGTTCGTACTTGGCTTCAGCGAGATTCAATCATATTCATATCTCTTTGCATCTAGTTGCTTTTCAATAGCTATTTCCTAATGATTTGATTTCGCCGAAATACTTTTCATTTACAATTGTGTGTTTCCGAACACCATCATAACCTCAGTCTATAATCAGGCACTGGCCGAAGTGGATGTATGTTATCCCGCAGTAGCCTGCCAGATGGCAAACGGGAACGAACTCCTATGCCCCTCCTCCCCCTTCTCAATACCATAAGTATTATGAACCCCTTCCCCAACAGATCACACCTCAGTACACTGCCAGACGTCCAAGGTTGACCATCGATGATGCCACTCCATAAAAACAAAAATAAAGGACCTTTATCACATATACCAACTATATAATATACAATCACATAAAATTTATTTTAGTAATTTTAAAAATTTCATTTTTTTCAATTAATCAATCACATTAATTTCAACAGATTAAGATTAGCGGATTAAGACTATCCTATATTTGATCGGAATAATTACGGATTATTACCAGATTAATCATATCAATTTATTTGATATCAAATGGATAATCCGATTAATAAAAAGTGGGCGAGGACAGGCACGCCCTTACTACTGATAACAGATTCGTGTGACGAAGTCTGTATCCGCAAATTTCCTGACATCCTCTATGTTCCTATATATTTATTATTTTTAAATTGCTAAATATATTGAAATTTTAACAAAGCTATTTAATGAACTACGTAATTTTTTTATAAAAATTAAAACACAATTTTTTGAACAGTTCTAGAACATAATTTTGATTGTGTATATGCCCAGAGTGATACTGCAATTGCTTCAAATATATTATAATATAAAACATTTATAAAAAAAGGTACATTAAACAGTTTAAGTACATGAAAATCAAGTGACTGAGCGAATAAAATCTATGAAATCTATGTGGAATTATTGTATATCACATTTAAATTTCAACTGATGTCTTCTGCTTGTGTGGTCTCATGGTCAAGATGTGCGACTCCTGAGCAAGTGGTCGCATGTTCGATTCATGCTGCTTCCCAAAACATAGTATTCTATTTCAGTATGCACAGCTATCATGGCCAAGTCCAAATTTAAGAACGTCTAAAATTGATAATCCAATTTTGTATTTAAAATACATGTCTGATATACAATGTTGAAACAATTTATGTCAAATAAAAGTAATTTGATTAAATAAATTTAATTATTTTTGTTTCACCGAATTCTAGATGTCATATGGGATCACGATTCCACAGTCAGAACTGCAATGTGTCCAAAATCGAGTATTCAAGGCATTTTTGGAGGTCGGTTATAGGGGGTATGGGTAATAGGGATAGGAGGGCAAGGGTGTTTGATGCAATGCTAAGGAGGGAAGGGAGAAGGGTTTCATAATCGTGGGTGATGTAGTTACGGACGGTAAGGGGAGGAAGTTTGTGGTTGAAGTGTTGATGGATATATATATATAAGCCTGTTGATCGTCGATGGGATTAGTAATTCTCCGATTCTCGGGATTGCGAATGTCACGGCGTTATAATTCGCTGACTTTTTTTGAGAATTTTATCAAAGCATTAACACAAAAATAGGATTGCTGTGTTGTGGGGAGTTTTTGTTGGATGGCGACGTGGGTGTTTTGAGTGGAGGAGGATCGGTCGAGAGATTTAGGTGGCTCTCAACATCGGGGTCTTGAGAGCCGATAAGGGTGAAACGAGGTGAGTATGGAGCGATTCCAGAATTCAAAGACCGGAAATGTGAGATCCCCGAGAAATTCCACCGCCGTCCAGCAGCATCGCCTGGTACAATTCCCATGTGTGAAAATCCGAGGAGACAATCGAACCCAGTTTGCCTTGGTTGGAGGCAAGTAATGTGACTACTACACTCCCACGGACTCCAGGGAGACCAGACCTTACTACTATAGCCTTCATGAGTAACTTGCAACGCTTAATATTTAGGAAATTAATATGTATGGCTTATTAAAAGTGGAATTCCTTCCTGATACATTCAAAGTGTGTGTTTATTGCAGCGGTAATGTTTTAATTTTCATCAAACTTTAAAATTTGTGGTGTAGATTTTTGAATAATTTTGTCCCAGACTTACCTTATTTAAATCCAAAAAATTTATATACAGCATGACATGATATTCTACAGAAGAAACATCTATTACATTTACAATTGTAAATAAATAAATAAAATTTTTTTAACACAATTATTAATCAGGATTTTAAAAGAAAAGAAAATAATTCAATTGTATGTATTCTAACTGTAATACTAATTTTTATATAAACAATGACAATTTAATCTTGTCAGCTTTAATTACATACATAATGGTTATCAATGATTACAAGCATGGACTATTCTAACACATATTATGTGTTAGAATAGTCCATGTATATGATCAACGTATGGTTTTTAAGTCACTCGTTAATAGTTACAAAAAAAATTTTAAATATCATTACCTACCGAGTATATAAAAGAAATATAAATTGTTTGTGTATATGTATTATAAACTGTAATATTTACTTTGAACTTATCAATAATAATTTAATCTGGTCAGTTTTAAATTAAATCTACATTGAAAAGCATTAACGATATGTATTAAAATATTTTATGTAGAAATTCAGATGACAAAAAATAGATGCAATAAATACTGCATTTAATATGTTGGTTTTTGAGTATCACGGTAGTAGTTAATGCAACTAACACATCTCAACACAAAATTAAATGTTCAATTGAATTATATAGGATGAGTACTTTAAAAGAGGCCCCGTGGGACATGTGTGTAACGGAGCGAGGGAATGAGGAAATATAGACCACGGGGCCTCTTTTAAAGGATTCAACCTGTATTTGTTAATGGCTATAAGTACTTTTCGTTCAAGCTGATTTCTTATACTTTAGGGCCAAGGACAAATAAATTTCAAAATTGATTAACATTCAACAACATATTTTATGTATCCAGCATAATTAAAACTGTATTCTTACAGGTTTCAGCAATACCAGACAAAATAAATGTTTTCTCACAAATTTTTCTGTCCATACACAAAAATATGATGTATGTAGACACATTTGGTCAGTTCTTCTTGTGATGCTCTTCTTAGTCATGATGGTTTAAAATTTCTCACAACAAGGTAAATGCAAAACGAAATAGAAATTTTCTGAGTGATCGACGTTAACTAAGTTTTTTTTCCCAAGCCTTTGTAGTAGTCTTCTCTGAAGATCATATTCATAATGCCGCCAACATATGTGCGTATCCATGTTGGTGCGATGATAGTAAAGAAGTGCTGAAAAAAAACAGAAAGAAAATAGTTTCACAAATGTTCATGTTTTCGCTTCGAAAGTAAATTTATTTAATGTGTTGATGGTCTATACAATAGAAACAGTGCCATAGTTAATGGACTAATGCTTATGGTTAAAAATCACTTACCAAATTAAACGTGTTGTTCACATTTTTAAAATATTTATTACAAAAATTAAAATCTATATTTTGTAATTAAATAATATAACTTAAACCTACATATATTGCATATATGAATTAGCTATTACCACACTGGTGTGCAAAATTTTGGATGGATTCAAAAAATTAACAGAATGGCAGAACAAAAAGGCAGTGTGCTGCATGTACGACCAAAAGAAATATAATTAAATCCACTTCATAGTAAAGACAGTCATTGGTAAAAGGTAAATCACCACAAACATTTGCAATAAAAGTGACTACTAAAATATAATAACATAACCTAAGGACTGAGCAACATAAAAATTAAAAAAGTGGCATAAACAACAACTAAACTAGACACTCGTGTTGGGTGATCGTTCATGGCTCAAAAAGATGATGAAATATCATATAAAAATATGCAAGACTTAATACTTGCTTGAAGGATGTAATTAAGTGTAGGTCCTGAGGTAACTCTTCTAGAGTGAAGAAATAATAACACGGTATCTGTGGTGGTGTGTCTAAAATATATTTTTTAATTTATTGAATTGTTTCCCTAAAAATTTATACAAAATGGTAAAGGAAATTACTTTTTATAACAATTTGAATAATCGTTTTATCAAGATTGTTATAATGATATCTTAGGTTTATATAATATTAGAATTGAAACATAAATATTATCAAATAAATGAAGTGAAATGAAGAAATTTTGGGCGGATTTAACAGCGTGGTCTTGAGAGCAGATGAGGATGATTGAGTCGAGTATAGAGCGGCGCCGAAATGAACGGGCGGGGGAAGCGGGTGATCCCCGTGAAAACTCGCCGACCAACGGTATCGTCCGGCACGATTCCCACATGCGATAATCCGATGAACCGGCTTGAGATTGAACCCCAATCGCCTTGGTGGAAGGCGAGCAGGCTTATCGCTCAGCCACCGCGGCCCTGTCATATAAATGTGTTGGTTCAGTTAATCATAACTTTAAAATATTTTTTTGAATATAATATAATAATATGAATGTACATAAACTTCTGGGGCAATATTTTAATTAAGGAAACAAGCGAAAATTAGCCCAGTATTTGGTAACCATGATAACTTCAAAATATATAATTATTGCCTTAAATAGGCAGAATGCAAGTTAGTTAAAATAATACAGACGAAAATACAAGATCACAGATGGTATAAAATTATGGTAAATCATATAAATTTCCATTATACAAAAAAAACAGGTTATTGAGACTAACTTCTGAAATCATAATAATATTAAATTCATTTTCATAATAATTTATATCTGGATAAATTATCGTTAATTATGACAATCATTAAAACAACATTATTTTAATTGCAATATCTAAGGCCTAGGATGTATCCTGCACAGACTAAATTCAATTACTAAAACCACAACTGATGGAACTACGTTTTATATCATAACAAGGATTCACATGAATAGATTTATTATAATCTTATTAACAGTTAATTATTATTTCCTTTTTTTTTGCTAATGTAAATTATTTAAGTATTGACATTTATTAAGGAAATGTAGAATGTGGCCGTTGATCTAGCTGAACGAATTACGTCCACAAACACCGGCCGAAATAGAATTGAGAGAAACAGCATGAATCTTGAGTATTTATTTATTTTTGTTAAATGAAATTACTTTATGTTTATATACGGCCATTTAGTGAAGCAGAAAGAAAGGAGTTCATACTGACTTAGCAGATTGTAGAAAAACAGTGCGTCCACGAGCATCGGTTGAAAGGGAGAAAATGCCACATGTATCTTGACTAGTGATCAGTAGAATTCAAACCTCAGGAAAGAAGGTGGTGCAGATTAAAACACCTTGAAGTATCTTGTGACGGCAAATATAATGGAAATCGTGCAAACGCACGGAACTGGTGCAATTCAGAGAAACTCGTTGAAGCCCGTTCAACCTTACTATAACATAACTGAGAACAAAATAATGGAACGAAATAGTGAGTGAACATTTTTTACCGGTGCACGTGACAAGCGAAGAGAAAGCAGATTGTAGCAATACTCACCAAGGAGGGTGAAAGAAAATTATCAAATGATATAATGAAAAATTTGAACGAAGAAACACTGAAAAAGAAATTTAAAAAATAAATGATTCACAACACTACAAAATAACATCCTGGCTAAACTTTATATGATGGTTATTATGTTGAAAAAAACTAAATAAATGGACCTCGACCCTAAGCGGACCATCGCTGTCACCACATGTTGAAAACACAACTTGTTGACGATACGCCGAGGAAAAAAGTGAGCTGAAAAACTGCTCGATGGCGTACGAAGGCAGTGGAAAGGATGCGGTATCAAATCTGCAAGGATAGCAACGATCATGTGAGAAACTTGGGTTTTTTTTGTAAGATATAATACGCTAATAGTATGATGACTGCAAGAAAATTGCAGAAGCAGCTACGGCAAAATACAGGGAGAGGAAAGGGCGGAACTACAGGTGACAAGAAAGGATTTCGCACGTTTGCAACGCACATCCGGTAATACTAAAACAGTCGCACAAGATGCAGGCTTGTAAACATTCAGTAAGATAGAAAACGAAGCAGTGAAAATACTTATTCTGAAAAGAATAGAAATGAAACTAAACGA